TTTTTCTTCTTAATAGGAGGTAGGATAGGTGTCTTTATAGGTGTACCCTCTTACCCATTTCTGAATGGCTATGTTTTGATATGAAGGATATAAAGAACCAGTATAATTGCTGGCTGATAGGTAATCCATTAAGTCCTCAGAGGTCACAACTCACAACACATCTTTATTTGAAATTGTTTACAGGTGTCTATGGGCTGTAGTGTCTATAAACGTTACGTGGTAGAGCCATGTTGCAGCTATATTGTGGTTGCAGCACGAATGGGTCGGCTCGACCGGGGTAGGACCACGCTCTCACAGAATACCAGCGTTAAATAGCAGCTTAATACGAAACACGGCAGGTGTTTCGTATGGTGAGTGTAGAGAACCGGAGACCCTATTTACTGGAAACGAGGCGTTTCATCTTAGTCCTCAGGAGTGACAACGCATCTGCATTTCGATTTTTAATTGAAGGTAAATGTAAAAGTCTATGGGCTACAGCATCCACTTACCATCAGATCGACTGTGTGCCGTTTGTCACACTTATTCTATTAAAAAAACCCATCAAGTAGACTATAACTTTGTTTACCACTTTCATTTTATAAAAATATCATTTTGCGGCCCAGTAATTTAATCTTGATACAGAAAAATTAGTTATCACTCACGACATCATTAACATAAATAGAAAAACAAAACGACGCTGTAAACCGAAGACCCGCCCACAGAACGGTTAACATAATTGTTGACGATTTATCTCCAGTCGCGCTTGTCATCCCCATAATTCGTAAGAGCGGGCACGAGCCCGGCCGTATATCACATTTGCCAAACGCCACAGCGGCGAATTGCTGTCGTCGAGGGATTAGGAAACACGTTCCACGAAGGCCTCACGCATGATCTATAGTGGGATTAGTGTAAAAATTAAATCAGTTTTGAAAAACGAACACCTTTATCGGTTATTTGGCAAAAACTAAGCTTTTTTTGTTATTGCTTATGGCTACGGGGTTTTAAAGAATACCAGTAACTTATGATATGGTTCGATATATAACATGTTGATACACCCCTTTGTCTGAGACTTAGAGACAATGAGGACGATAACTATGACTCACTAAACTAAAAATAGGACAGGAAACAATGAATTTGTATTGCATTTTAATAGTTCGTACTAGTATAGTATATAGTATCATCATCACTATCACTATAGTCTATATATAAAAAAATATCATCACGATTTACATTTTCTTTACTTATAAATTAAAATGAGTTAATTATTTTAAGAATTGAAAACATCTTGTTCCAAAAACATCTATGCTTTAGTTTTTATAGCTGTCGTCGTGTGTGTTCTTTTAGTTATAGCGATCTTCTTTTTTCCAAGAAAAAAAATATTAAGGTCCAAGTAGTTATACTTCGGCTAAGCGGTTCTTCCTCTATACGATAAACAAACTAAAGTCAATGTATCTCCAACTGGAATACGGGCTAAAACGATAGAAACAAAAAGGTTATAACAATAAACAGTAGAGTTTTACGCTTGTAGCGCGCGTTGACCAAAAGTTTGCAGCTGCTGCATGTATAAATAAAATTTATCTCCGGACGTTAAAGAGATGCTCCGGTTTATTGTTTTCACGATTCCTTTGTTTTAATGTTAGATTAAGAGTGCTGTTGCAAGTAGATTTTATTATAAATTTGTGCTTTTGTTTCTTCTTTTTAAAATACTTGCCAATCCACCCCTCCCCGAGTAAAATTTATTCTGTACCTTGGAAGCGTACGTATATTAATTGTACCTCATGCACAGACTCTTACGTAATTAAATCATAAAATAAAATAATTTTAATGAATAACTTTATAACTTACCTAATCAAACAAATGTCAACTCCACCACGGTTGTAAATAGGTCGGCTTCACTGGGGACCGATGACCACGCTCTCACAGAATACCAGTCAAAATAGCTTAATGCTGCTTTGTTTTGTATGGCGAGTGTAGAGAACCATAAACACTTTTTACTGGAATATCTTATGGATGACAACGCATCTGCATTTTGATACCCAATAGATGAGGATGGCGGTGTCAATGGCCAGGGTGAATATCACATCTCTTAAATAACGGGAACGAATACACATGTTGAAAAACAAATCCATGATTTTTATTTATATTGTACAACAATGTCTTAAATATTTTTAAGTCTTGCATAAATATACCCTAATCAACATAGGGTTTATTTTACACCCGATGAAGTGTTTATTTAAATATGGGAAAAAAGAGGTCAAGGGTTTACGTAACAACTTTGCAATATTTTGTTTTGCTGCATGGGAGGTCTTCCAAAATACAAATTTACCTTGATTAAATTTTTTATAATAGTGTATAATTTATATAAAGTTGACCGTTTTTATATTCTCTCTTTAAAAAGATAATTAACTAGAACATATAATAAAATTACACAAAAATTTTCACATTTCATCACTTTATATTTTCAAAGGGTTAAAATATTTCTATATAAGAAGCAGTTCTTCTTCAGCATTAGCCAATTAAAGTTTACTGCTAGATATGGGCCTATACCGCTAAAGGAATAGCAGGTGGCTTAGCAATTTCGGAATGAGATATCTTGCATTTTGTTTTTGGATCCCGTCGCTAATCTAGGCCTTTTACGTTCAGCTTTAAAAAATCTGCCGACTATCGGAAGCCTTTCTGGTACATCCCATAGCCTACGTACGGGCCACGGGAATAGTGGACAGAGATGTATAAGTTACCTAATTAAAAATATCTGGAATACTTAAAACGTATATTCCAGATAAATACTTTTATATAAAATATATGAGATATCAGATTCAGATACAAAATACGAGTCAGTCAGTGGAAATGGTATTTGAAATACAAGATACATAATAATATTGAAAATACATACATATTATGTACGTATTTTCTAAATACTCTTACAAAATAAAATACCTTTTAAAAACATTTTATTGTTAATCTTCACATAAGGTTTATTTAGATAAGAATCTGTCATGGGGACAGCACAACAAAGAAATTAATCGTAAAGTTTTTGACTTTACAGGCTCATTGCGTAGATTACGTAACCTTCTTTCCATTTCCACCAAACTATGTTTTCCAAGTCCCTTCTCTTCCTCATCTTTGACTATGCAGACTTCAGCTATCTAGATCTCAGCGAAGCTCAGCTTGATAAACTTGAGCGAATTCAGAATTTTTGTATAAGGTTTATATTTGGATTGCGCACATATGACCATGTTTCTCTTTCTCTTACTAAGTTCAAAAGGTTGCCAATACGACTTCATCGGAATGCTCACATTATTCATCTTCTCTCAAAAATCGTCTTGAGTTTCTTCATGATTCCCATTCGCGTAACCTGAGATCAGAAGAGAGCTTATAGCTGAATATGCCACTACACACCAGTAAATTCATTAACCAGTCTTTTACTGTACAGGCCGTTCGTTTATGGAATGAACTCCCATTGGCTGTAAAACGCGCACCATCCCTACCGATATTTAAAAAAATAGTCATGAATAATTACCTCGCACTTAAAATCTAACACAATAGCCAATAAATGCAATATAATATGTAATATATTGATTGCATTTAGTTAAACAATTCATAAACAAACAAAACAATCAATAAACGTATTATGTTTGTGGTATATTATATATATGTGTACCTATTCTTTTTACTTATTTTTTTCTATCGCACCTATTTGCCCTACATCATCTTCCAGTAATAAGACCGTTCCATGAATACTTCTTTTATAATTGTATAATTTCTACAATTTTAGTATGGTGTGCAATAAAGAATATTAAATAAATAAATATATTAATAATGTACAAAAGACGCGGAAATGTGAAACCTTTTATTTGAGTCTTATGTAAAAGTAAAACCAGTTCCTCAAACATTTTATCACTTATTTTTCTTCGATGAGATGTCATTATCATCCCCCTTAAAAGAGAAGAGTCGCTTCACAGGGTCTTAACTAGGCAAACAGGTGTTAAAGCAATTCTTGTATACATATAATTGGAATCTCGGAAACGGCTCCAACGATCTTCATAAAATTAGGGTCCAGAGGGTTTCGGGAGCAATAAATCGATCTGTAGTTAGGATTCATTTTTAAAAAATATCGTTATATCCGTGTTTTCAGGCAATGAAAAATTGCTACAATATTATTAGAATTAGAAGGTAAATTTTGGCATTGTGTTAATGATTATAATAGCTCAAATGGGACTTATCAAGTTCCCTTCTTTTGTGAGAAAATCGAGCCCTTTTTTTAGTATTTTTTTAAAAATGAAAATTTAAATTAAACTCATGCACTCATGATTTTTTATTCAAATAACCTGTTCAGATTTTTCTATTATGCCGGTAAGATCAAAACATATTATTCATATTTCATCATTATGCAAATTTGTATAATTACAAAACGCACGATTTCCAAAAAAAAAAAAAATACAGAGCAAAGTTCGGTCGTTCAGGTACTATGTTTTTATTGTAGGATAAACGTTTAAATTCTTTACTGTGATATCATTATTAGGTAGGGGGAATTCGGGAGACTTGCCCAGGGAGGAGACTTGAACCGACTCTGATTTCTCATTTGAATTTTCGCGCTAACGGCCTGATTGCCCACTAATAAGGTGATCAGGTAGCTAATCACGAGCGTTCAGCCATTTTGGCAAAATTCATACGCGTTGGATCTTGACCGGCATATACCTGTTTATCTCATTCTCAAGTAAATAAAAATAGAAAAACTGTTTTGATCGCTGTGAATCGATTAATGAAGGTAAGTAAGATTTAGTTTTATTATATTATCCCATAATTATCGTATTTGAATATGTGTACAATGGAATTTAGTTGCAAATTGTGGTATCTGAGTAAAACAAGCTAGAATCCGGAAAGGGGGGGGGGTTGTGGGAGATTTGAACCACTTAGTCGGTGGGAGATATGACCATTGGTTCAAGTCTGCCTTCAGTGGCTACAGCTGCGTCTGTTGACTGTTGCTAAGTTAAGTGCACTTTTTATATTCCAGGACGAAGATGCCGTTTCAATACAAACCCCAAGGCACTACCCATCGCAGAAAATTTACAAAGCGTGACCTTGAGCAAGCTACGAGTATTAGTGAGATTCAGGGAGGTGCTTCTATTAGAAAAACAGCCATTAAATATGAAATTGATAGAACGACTCTAAGAAGGTACCATGTTTGCGGTGAAGCGACATTAAATAAAATAGAAGAAAAAGGTGGTCAGTACAAAAGCTCGCAGATTTTTGATAATAGGGAAAAGCAATTAGTAAAATACCTTTTGATATACAGTAAAATACACTATGGACTAACGAGAAAACAATCCATGCAATTAGCCTTTGATTATGCTCTAGCAAATAATAAAAAAATACCTCAAAGTTGGACAAATAACGATTCTGCTGGAAAAGATTGGTTCCGAGGTTTCTTAGCTAGAAACCCGGAAATAAGCTTAAGGACGCCTGAAGCCACCAGTTTGTAGAGTGCTATAAGTTTCAACAAAAAAAAATGTAACAGACTTTTACGAAAACTTGAACAAGTGCGAGAAAAGTATAATTTTGAGCCACAAAATATATATAATTGTGATGAATCTGACTGTACTACTGTCCAACAATGCCCCAAAGTATTGGCAAGTAAAAAAGCCAAGCAAGTAGGACATGCCACCTCCGCTGAAAGAGGTACTCTAGTTACAGTCTGTTTCGCTGTAAACGCCATTGGAAATGCCATGCCTCCTTTTTTCATATTTCCGCGTGTTAAATACCGACCTGCTTTGTTAATGGGGGACCTGAAGGGTCTGATGGAGATTCATACATTACGGGTTGAATGACTGCCAAGAGCTTCCTAAAATTCATGGAACATTTCAAAAAGCACTCCCATGCATCGAAAGATAATCCCGTGTTATTAATTCTTGATAACCACGAAAGCCATGTGAGTATCGAAGTGATAAGTTATGCAAAATCCAACGGTATCACATTGCTTACACTTCCGCCCCATTGCAGCAATAAGTTGCAACCTTTGGATATCGCTGTATATTCGTCATTTAAATCGAGATATAATACTGCGTTGAGCAACTGTATGCTTTCAAATCCTGGAAGGACAGTAACGATATACCAAATTCCTGGATTTATCAAAACGATTATGTCGCAAGCATTCAGCCAAGCCAACATTTTAAGCGGATTCAAAAAATCGCGAATACATGCTTATAATGATAATCTATTCAGTGATGAAGATTTCATGTGTTCTGCTGTAACAGATAGGGATATATCCAATGAAAATTATGAACTTCCCAGTAGTTCGTCTCAATGTCGCCAAGCTCAGCTTGTCTTTTCAAGCGCTCAGCAAGATCCACCAGATTTTCCGCAGAGCTTCAACGACCTTGATCAGGAAATTCTGTCAACATCTCAACTGATCCCTAATGATGAAGTTCAGGACCCTCCATCTAGTCCCGTGCTTGATTTAAATAATGTTTCGCTTCTGGATTCAGTGACTGTTTCTCTAACAAATAACCAACTAAACCCTCCAGCTCAGAAAAGTCCGCAAACCTCTGACAAAGTCTTAAAAAAGCTTTTCACATGCACAATCATCTGAATCAAATTCACTCAACTGTTCTAAAGTTTATCCTGAGAGCCTGGTGAATTGTTGCCTCACTAAATTGGCTCTCATGGCTAAATTAAATTGTAATTTAGAAGTTTCTTTTCATCAGTGCCAAGAGACTGATATAAATTATTATTATCCTCCAAATTCACCTACTCTGACACAAAAGCTGGATATTCCGCAAACTCCGGACCATATTACTAAAATAGTAACTATTACACCAGAAATAATAAGGCCATATCCAAAAGCTGTACCCCGAAAGACAACACGGCGTGGACGACAACCTGGAAAAACAAAAATTTTAACAAAAACTCCTGAAAAAATTACAGATGATTCAAATGAAATCCTTAAGAAAACAACAACTAAGGCCAAAGGTAACAAGTCCTCAAAAACAAAAAACGAATAATATTAAAAGAGGAAAGAAGGTAGACACAAAAAAAAGCAAAGAGGCAAGTTTACAAGAAAAGAACATTGACACAGATTGTGACGATGATTTTAAAGCAGATTCTAATAAAATGAAAGAAAAACTAAAGCAAGGGAAAAATAAAATAAAAAGAAACAAAGATACAGGACCAGCAAAAACCAAAAAAAGGAAAATAAATAAACAACAGAAACGTTCTCGCACGTTAGCTTGACAGTGAATCTGAAGAAAATTATGACGATTGTATTCCTTATGCTGATAGCTCTAATGACGGTGACTGGGAAGGGGAAGGAGTACCAGAGTTGGATACTCGTTGGTATTGCTTTATTTGTGGTACTGAAGAACTCTTGGATATGCGTCTTTGTATTTCTTGTAAAAGGTATGTCCACGGGGAATGTATAGGTTTAAATATTAACGATTCTGAAAACTTCATGTGTCCAGAATGTGATTAACTCAATAAAAATACTTTAAGGGTGGATATAAGTGCCACAAACAATTTTGAATGACCTTGATCTCTAATTACGATGTTACTTTTATAAGTGCCTTATTATAATTAAGACTGATTATTGATTTTTTTATAATTACGGTTAATTAAGAGTAAGTGACATTCATAAAATGTCAAACTGTTTTTACGTTTTGTTAATTGATTAAAATAATGACAAAAACTTTGATATTTAAATTGTTTTCCCAGTAACAGAAAGTATGGTTAAATCTCCCCAACCCTATGGTCAAATGTCCCATGGGTTGGGGAGATTTGAACCATTTCTGACTTTTTAAAAAAAAGTTCCGTAATTCTTAGTAGATAAAAGTTATTATAACATTTGTACCACTAATCGAAGCCTATTGAATTAAGCAATCCAAGTGTTAAAGACTGAGATATCTACAAGAAATCAGTAAGATTTTACAGTCATTTTTGTAAAAGGGGGTTCAAGTCTCCCGGATTCCCCCTACCTACTTAGGTATTGAAGTGTTTCTAAGTCAGCGGTGCTGCCCCTAAAAATCGTCTTTTATCTTTTTTATGTCTACTGTAAGAATGTATCTAAATACAAGATACAAAATTAAAATTAAAAAAGTACTATTTCAGATAAAAGACGAAAATACGTATTTTCTATATTCTATTTATATTTCAAAAACTTGTAAAGTAAGCCACATCTCTAATAATGTGGTAATGGTTTCTCTAACGCCGCTATTTTACGGCATACTATAAAACTTTCAAATTACATAACTCAAAAATATTCAAATTGTCTCAAAATGTTATTTATTTTTCTAGTTATGTTAGTATTTTACAAAAGAGTCCCGTTTGAGGATATGATTCTTGCAATTATTGCACTAACTTGTCACTATAGCAACATACATTCGTAGTGGTTACTGTGCAACGTTTTTTTCTTCTTTTTATATCTATAATGTTTGTATATATAGTTTTGTACTATGACTTTACCAGATTCACACACCTAAAACTACAGGTTTTACGTAGTATATTTTTTGGCATAAGTATATGTTATATATAATTAGGTAACATTTAAGTACCTAATATGTAGGATCAGTAAATGTGGAAGCCAAAACAAAAATGGAGGACAAAGAATTTTTATTGGCTACTATTTTAATTACATGTATAATTAATTGCTTGATAACTATCCCCTTAGAAATGAGGACAGGCCTGCGCCCAGCAGTGGGACGTATATAGGATGTAACTTTCATTTTAACTATCCTATCTAATGGTAAATTATGGTGCAGAGAAAAATAGAAAAGCACAGCGGATTAGCTTTACAAAACCCTATTCACTCTTTTCTTTAATCTTTTTCATATAAGATATTATTAGAATATTAGTTGATTACAAGGATAAAGATATGTTTCTCTTATTAAATGTTCGGTTAGGCTCCGACGTAAAACGTGAACATCATTTGAAATTCAGACGAAAAGAGCGTAAGACTTTAATGGTGTGGAGTTTTATTGTATGTTTACTATAAGAAAATAGAGATGGTAGAGATGTGCGTTTAGACTATATTATAGAAAGACGGACCAACCTATTACTGCAGGCAATCACTAGTGTAACCAAGTACTTAGAGGTGATAACTGATGACACAGCTGTTGTTTTCTATGTTTGTAGTGTGTGTTCATGGGTTGCAGTGACACATAAAATAAGAAAAGTTGGCGTACAAATCGCTCATCCTCTAATTCATACTCAAGACGTGTTCTCAAACACAATGAGAGCCCGCGGTAGAACAGGGGTGCACTCAAAATGCACCGAATAGCGAGTTTCCCTTTTCGTAGAGAACAGGTGGACTGTTAGCTAGTCTGTCAAATCATGTTCACTACATTCACATACGAAACACAAAGGCATTAAGCTGCCATTTTACGCTGGTATATTGTGAGACCGTGGTTCTTCCACGGTCGGGCTAATCTATTCGTGCTATAACCATGATCTGCAGCATGGCTCTACCACGTGTAAATTATTGTAATTAGTATTATTAAGACTACTAGATCTCGGCTATAATAGTCTGTCACTCTATGTTACAAAACAACTGTGCTTATATATGCTTAGCAGTATAATTATTTTTTACAGGCATGGCCGTTTGCTTTCCAACACGGAGGGGCCTTAAGTTATGCTATTTCACAAAGATGGAGCATCAATTCGCAAGCAAATGATTCTTCTAATATAAATAGCCGGAACAGTAATATGCAAGTACAGGATAATTTTCAAAACGTTATAAATTGCAACGATAATTACGGGCAGGATTACTCTGAAAACGATTATGAAGATAGAGGTTATGAAGATAGAGGTTATGAAGAATTAAACGACTCATCAGGACCCTCCATGCAATATTGTAACTACGGTTACAAGGAAGACTATTATGAAATGAGAAACACACACCCTTGTGATAGTCTTATGAATAACGTGTAAATAAAAAAAGAATAATAACTTATGTATGATCGGCAGATTTTTCACAGTCATTGTAATTCCAAAGGAATATTTAAATAAACCATATATTTACAGCCAATTTGATTTTTGTACCTTTCGTTTGTCAGTTGTAAAATGTTTTAATTATAAGGCGACCGGTAGTAACTGGATGGGCAAAGCAAAAAAAAAATTGATTACAATTATTAATAAAAATCCTTCAACAGATAAGTCGGGAGCGGTAAGCTGAAGTAGCAATGGACCGGCCAAATAGCTCGAAAACTTGACAAGTGATGGGGAAGAAAGGTTCTCCAGTGGTAGTCTCCTACCTATAAGTTGGGTCTCTCCCCCACAAGTCAAGGGGCCGACTCCCCTTTAGATGTGTGACCACCTGGTAAGAGAGCCTGCATCTCTCACTAAGAAGTCTATGGATGAAAGCTCAAGACCGTGCTTTGCGACATTCCTAGAGGAAGACCTATACTCGCAGTGGATTTTTGAATTATTGTTGAGTCAAATATTGTTCAGAATATAGAACATGTTTGTATTGTTATGTTATATATATGTTTGTATTTTTTTATAGGATAGGGTGACAAACGAGCACACAGTCCAACTGATGGTAAGTGGTTGCTGCGGCCAATAAACATCTACATCTATCCTCGATTACGAATCAAAATGCAGATGCGTTGTCACCCGTGAGGACTAAGATGGAATGCCTCGTTTCCAGTAAAAAGGGTCTCCGGTTCTCTACACTCACAATAAGAAACACAGCAGCATCAGACTACTATTTTACGCTGGTATTCTGTGAGAGCGTGGTCATTTGAGGTCAAGGAGTACCTAATTTATTGTATGAATGTGAACGAAAAGCTACGTATATGTAATTTAATGGTAATTATATTTGCTTGTTGTTAAAGAATATTATTCGCTAAAACTACAATTTGCAAGAACACTAGTAAACTTCAATTTTTGTGTGTTTTTTTATCCAAAATCAAAATAAATAAGTTTTCTTCTTTGAAGTGAAACTCTTTTATGCACGTTGTGCACTTTTGGGATGGGGACTATTACATTGAACTCGCGTAACCGTCACGCTAAGGAACATATATAGGTACAAAAATTATGTTTACAACCTTGTGAAGCTAAGAAATTTTCGCTTCTGACGTGCAATACTACGACTAACAGTTTCTTTTTATCCATGTGACGTTTAATTATATAATATAAACCACGTGGTCTTTTAAATAAAAAATGTTAACGACATGTTTTAAATTTTATCTCCTTCGAGCCGTGGTAGTTTAGAGGCTACGATCTCGCTGTAAATTTCACAGCACGCGAGCAACCCGGGATTGATCCCCGCTGGCACTAATGAAATTGTTAATTGCAATTTTAAGTGCTGATTTACCACGTGCTCAGCGGTGAAGGAAAACATCGTGGGAAAACTTGCATGTCTAAAAAATAAGAAAAAAAAATATGTTCAAGATGTGAAGTTCGCCAACATACATTGTGGCAGCGCGGTGAACCTCGCCTTGCCTTAAAACACTCCCAGCCATGAGAAGAGGTTTGTTTCATATATATATATTTATATATATATATATATATATATATATATATATATATATATATATATATGCAAATGAATGTTTCTTTGTTTATCCAATGTGATTTTATGTATGACATTCATCCGGTTAAGATGAAACTTTGGTGCGTTTCGTGCACGTGCTCGCCAAGATATCTGGCAAAAAATTTATATTTGTCTGTTTGCTTGTGTGTCCTCTATGCGTTCCTTTGCTTATTCCATAACGATAACACTTTGGCATTTCTGAGAAAAAGCAGGTGAGCAGAGCTGAGCACGTGGTAACCCGGGAATAGTTGTTAGCATATAAAAATAACTAAAATTAATCATACAAATTTACTTTCAAGTCGATCTAAGAACACGTGAAAGTTGAGCCACCGACAGTAGAAGTAACTCGATAGCTTAACAAAGTGGAACCGCTTTGACACTCCGGGGAATCTGGCAAAACAAACACGAAATCATTTGTGTGCAAAAAATATACTTCGCGAAAAATGAATAATTTTGAACGCTAGTTGTCAAATGATGAATATTTTGCAATATGAATGAATATATTTATGCCGTCTGTGTATTTAAAACTTAAATCATTATCACATATGAAATAATTTCATAATTATTTCGTACGTGATTAATATTTGATACATATATAATTAAATAATTTCACTTATGATATAATATTATATTATATCTGTATTTCTTCGACGCATTCTTCGCTTGAAATTGTTTATAGTATTCTATGTATGAAATTGAAAATTTCATTTGCCGAACGTCATTGTAAAGTCTAATATTTTTTACTAAAAATGGGCGGGTGTTATACGCATGTATTAAGCAAAACTTTGTCTGAATAAAATGTACGGAAGTGCATATTATTATCTGAATGATATACATATATATAGCCGACGTATATGTCTATTGTCCAACTATATTATTGTCACTTTTGTTCTTAAATTATTACGTGAAGAGACAACATTGTACCCTTCAAGCATATATCCACTATGTGCACGAAGGAGTGTGAGATATGGCACAGTCAAAGTTTATATGGATAAGGAGTACAGAAATCTAAAATTAATTTCGATCAACTATTTTTTGTCCTACCCCTGTCCCAGACATTCAAATATTTTTTACTCAATAAGTATGGTTGCGAATCGGAAAATTAAGTATTTGCCTTAACATTAGTATTATGTTTAATATACAAGGATTAAGAATTGGTAAATTAACACAAAATTAACTGAAATATTTGTGGTTGTCCAAAAGACGCAAAGTTCTTTTCTTTGTACAATTATATGTCCCCAGGCACTACTCATCTATAAAAATAAGAATAGTGAAAAAAAAATTCCATTGTCACATTAAAACTAGTTTCTCGAAAATATTCAACCTTATTTAATAGTTCATAAAAGCTTCCAATAATATTTTCATTGGCCATCTATCGCCTAATTTCTGAATTATTACGTTGTCCCCAATGTTACTTAAAAATCGTATGTCAATCGGACAACCACTAAGAACTTCTAATACGAAAGAGAGAGTGCGTTATAAGTCCGTTATAAGTAATCAATAATAAAAGCGCGGCAATACAACCGTCATTTTCTTTATTGGAAGCATGTTCGAGTCAGTCGGCCGCAAACAACAAGTAGGGTATTAGTGTTCTGTGAGACAAGTTGCGTGTGTTAATTGTGAGTCCACTGAACCACCGCGCCAAAACTGTAAGTATCTAAATATTTCATTACAGATTTTATAAAAAAAGATAGTTCATATTATTAGTTCAATGGTAAACTTAAGAATCAGGATAATAATTCAATAATTTTCCAATTAAAGTCCCTAAACTTAAAATGTGTCTCTTGGACAACGAGGCTGAAATGGTTGTCCAAGAGACATTTTTGGTTGTCCAGGGGATTCATTCAAATGATTTCCGATTTATTAAGAATTAAGTAACAATAATTGCATAAATAAAATTAATTTTATTTTTATAAGTAAATATAAATTAAACATTTAAATTAATATAAAATATTTTTATTTTAGAACGTTACAAAATGGGAATGACATCAAAAGAAAAATCCAAACGTTATAAAGAGAGAGTAAAACAAAACCCGGAAAAATATGATGAAAGGAAAAGAAAAAAATCGAGAGAGTTACCATAAAAATAAAAAAAAAAACTATTATTAGATCTTACGCCACAAGAAGAAGTCAACTGCAGGATCATTTGGAAACTGAGAAAGCAAGAACAAAACAAAAACGTACAAAAGCAATACAGGAATTGTTGAACAATACACCTCCAAGTTCACCGTCCATACTTCTCCAGCAACCAATTAATCAGCCTTTATTTGCTCCCACTCCACTGAGTAGCCCTGCAAAAAGTATGACTAGAGGCACCATTACCTCCGTTAATGGGAGTTTTCAAACCTGTTTAAATGAGATTTGATTTCTAGGATTTTTTCGATGTTTACCTCTATAATTGGGACTCTGGAGCTCAATTGCCTTTATAATTGCCAAATGCCAAATTATCAGGTTGGGACAGGTTTCGACACGATTGTTTACAAACATTTGAATTTCTTAATTTTTTGGCCTCTGTAAATGAGACAACTAAATTTTAAACCTAATTGGCAAACTGGATAAATGAAAACCTCTTTAAATGATACAAAATCCTTGGTCTCTTCAGATCCCAATTAACTAGGTTTCACTGTATATACGTTGCAGCTATGCGATGCTGGCTATACATATCTGCAGAATAAATAGACCAGCTCAACCTGATTCAGGTCACACTCTCATAGAATACCAACGCGAAGCGTAAACTGCGTGAAACATTAGAATAATGCTGTTGTGTTACTTATAGTGAGTGTAACCCGAAACCCTTTTACTTGTAACGAGGCGTTCCATTTTAGTTTTCAGGGGTGACAACGCATCTGTATTTCAATTCTTAATCGATGATAGTTGTGGATGTTTATGGTATCCACTTACCATCAGGTGAACAATGCACTCATTTATCACATTTATCTAATCTTGATGTGATTTGAAATTGACACTTAGCAGTAAGTGATGCCATTAAAAAAAGGCACAAATAATATATTTTATTTTAATGAAAATAGCTGTTTTGTTTTGTCTTTTAGTAAAAAACTGAAAGTAATTGGATTAATAGTAGTTTGTATTTCCATGAATAATAGTTTTAGATGTGTTGAAATTATTTTTTTATTATTTAATATCATTACTTTTAAATATGGCTACACCAACACGTTATCGATATGGACTCGATAGCGTCATTTAACGTTGCTCCACCTTACGGATACTTAAAGTCGTCGTTAACTAATGAACCCTTAAATTATGATTCTGAGATAGTCTGTTCGTTAACGGAGTTAATGCTAATTAGTTAAGTATTGATTAAGACTAATTTAATGAACCTTTCTGAGTGCGGCAGTTACTCTTTAAAAAACCTGTTTTGCTTCCTTAATCAGGA